ATCACGCAGCAATTCACTATCAAAACAGAGCACCTAGTGACACGATTGCATTCGATCAGCAAAGTGTTTCAGGTTGGACGGTCGGCTTCTCGAATCGAAAACTACGCCTTCTGCTCGACTTCGTACCGCCTTTCGATCAACAAGAGGCGATGAAGCAATCGTTGGCATGGTATGAACGAAACGATTGCATTCCGGAGCAGCGGCAGTCGATAACCATCGCAAATGAGCGCCCACGAATGGGTTGAAATTTGAGAGTGCTGGAACAACATCGCCTTCAAACTTTAATGAACATTAACAATCTACTGTATTTTTCAGCAAAAAATTCACTACATTCCTATCTTTACTTCGAATATAGATCGTAAAATGATTGTGTCAATATAGATTTCGAACAATAGTTTTTTCGACGACTGTTGTGCATTTTTTCGTAATTGTTGGCATGTTATCTTGTGATTCATGCTTACAGCAAAACGGCACTGTGCTGAAGATGATAATCTATTGCTGTCTATTCGATTGGAGATAAAAGAGTTGATATAATTGAAAACACGTAACTGGAAATGAAGTTTTCGCTGAGTTTTTACAATATTCCAGTCCTTTCTCATCCGTTTTTTGCTGCTTAATGTTCTTTATCACTGCTTGAATCGAATATTTCAGAATGTTTCCTGGAATCGTTCATGAGTACATGAGATTTTTTGCGTTTCCGAGATGCTATCAAATCCAGTTCCATAATCTCACACGTTTTTCTCTGCCACACACACATAACTTTAAACTGCTATCGTTGAATCGTTCAACACCTTCGAACACCTGTACATTTCATCTTTCTCTGTGTTAACTTCTCTCTTATATTATGAATGAAGTCGCATCTTTAATTATAAATGTTTGTTGTTGAGTTGCTTAATATACTGTGAAGAGTTCATCTCTCATTCCGCCTTCCCTCAGATGAGGGAAACTTGTCAGGCATATTACTATCGATGGATGGAAGCAAGGGAAACTAGTTGGAAAGACTTCGAGACATTAATTGAATGACGCAAGGTTACGAAAAAAAAGCATTCACTCCCTAATGCAGACAGACATAAATTCACAAATAGTCGGACTGAATTTGAAATGAGGCAATTTAGCGAGGTTCAAAGTATTCCAAAAACTTTCGTGTTCCCTCTCCAGAACGGTTATTAATGGTTGTGATAAATGTTAATAAGTTACGAATCGATTTTGAATGATCGCCTAAAACTGACCATCGCATGTCAGAGTTGTTTCGGAGCGAAGATGGATGAATGAAAATGAATGCACATGCAAAAGCAACGCATGGATTCC